TTGCTGGAATATTGCTAAAAGCGGCGTAAAACTAAACACACTCACTTTCTGTCTCTCTCACATTGGTACGACGTGTGAAGCCAACTTCTGTGGCTGTATGCACATGTCGAGCGTAGCTAACGTCAGGCGTAACACACTACGTCGGGCTTAGCAGCGCCCTCCTCTTACACGTCATGAGCAACGTCGGTTAAGCCTAGGCGTTACTACGCCCGACTTAACGGATTTACGCACACTCCGGCACAGCGATGACTTAACATAACATACTATGCTGGCTTGCCGCACGGAACTCTGGGTAGGAGAGTGGGATTTACGTCGAGGCGCAGTGTGCTATTTTTAGATTTTCGAACGTTTTTAAACCACCGGTAAAAGGCGCGAAACAACTTCGCGGTACATCCCTTTCAGCCGTAATCATGGAAAGCCAAAGAAAACCGAGAAATCCCAACTTTACCGATGGATCCTGGTGGGGAAATGACATGGACTTTTAAAAAAGGCTTCATCAGAAATGTCACCATTTTTGACACATTACAAAATAACGATTCACAGCGTTATTTGGTGTATGTTTTGAAATGTTCAAATCGGACAATTACTATTCAGAAGTATTGAATTTCAAAAATAGCGTGTTAATGATCACTGATATCAGGTTTTCATGAAATCACTAATGATAATTCTGAAAATACACTTACACGAACGCCAAAGTGCGCTTTCCGTCATAGAATCTATAGTGTTTACAAAATCACGTTTCGCGAAGGCCGGAATTGAGACGCCAATTACATCACGTAATCTATATATCATATTCAGCTGCGACAAATGCATCACTGAATTCCCCATACATTTTAGAATCAAATTACTACGTAGCATTTTTGTGAAATTTTCCGACTTTCAGCCGTCTATTCATTGCTTGCAATTGCTCAATATCTTTAGAATATGCATGGAAAGAGTATCGTAGCAAGAAATGGGAAATTAAAAACAGATACAGTGCAATGATTTGATATTTCATAAGAAATTGTAAAAGTTTCCGTGCAGCGTGACGCCATGACTGACGCAAAATCACGCAGAACGACAAAGGTAATTATCAGCATTTCTGGCTTCTTCTCTTACTTACAATGAAAACGATAAAACATATACAATACACATATAGTCAGAATCATTCTGATTACTTACATATCATATTTATGTACAAACGATCCCTGAATCAAGGGAAAGGTCCTCGCAAAATCCTGTGTACCCTTGTCAGCGAGGCAGCCATTTTATAAGAAATCGGTCGGCGGTAGTGATGTCATACGTCAACATTGTTGTGCATGTTAGGCAATTTCTTTGAGGTGAAGGTCGGTTGAACAAGAGTAAACACAATCGCCCTATCCTTCTGAATACACTTTCAGTATTATGATGTACGGTACATTTTGCATATCGTTCAGATATTTTTTCATCAAACTAATTTTAGTATATACATTTAGCCTTGTTCAATACCATATCATACGTGGATATAGGGTAGGTGTTTTTATTCTTTGAAAGTTTTTGATTGTTTGAATAATATTTACATAAGAAATTGACATATTTAGTGTAGTACACCATATGTTAAACCTTTACACAAGTATTAGAAGATCACACATAGCCATAACTGAAAAATATTTGGGCGTTGTGAAATATTATTTTTCATTTACGTTAAATTGGTGCCAAACAGGTGCGCGTGTTGCTCACAATAAGATACGCAGTCAAACCGTCCAATTGTTGATATATTCAGGACACTATTTAATTGGTAAAATCATTCATGTAATGTTTTGCTAAAGAGAGTTTAATTATGACATAGAAGCCGAGACCTTTAATACAATTAATGGAATTTAGGTAAGATATATACTAATCAGCAAACCAATGTCGTCTTTTTCCGATGTCGCAAAATGCATAAAACAAGTCATGACGTCAACTAAAATGTTGTTTTATTATCAGTAATTTCAGTACATTTGAAGATATGGCTAGTACTCCGTTAATAATGATGCAAAATTAGTCAAACTACATCTACACAAACAGGAGAATATGGGAATCTAAGAACTAACTTAATTACATATCGGATAGGGCCATCCAAATCGCTATTCTGCTTTCTCAAGTAGTTCATTGCCATTTTTTCTTATAGATTGTGAAACATTGTGATCCGCTCACATTGGTGAACTTTGTAATGGAATATGTTGGTTCACCGTGAACACAGCATAACGACAATTTAGCGTCCGTATCCACAACAACTTTTCTCCAAGTGATCTGAGTTACATTGACCTAGTATTAAACATAGCGGAGTTATATGCCCCCTTATCTTTATACGTGTATGACCTCTCTGTCGTCGGTTGACGTCATAGAAGAAAATCCATTTTTGACACTTATTGCAAGTCATTTTTAATGTTGAGCGTGTAATGTTATGCATTAGCACATAAACCCAATTCATATACACTTATGTCGTTCAGATATCAGGCTATATTTTCTTCGCTCACACTTTCTGTAAAGATGCCAAATTAAAAAAATCGTAGCAGAGTGCTTTTATCGGTGCACGACAAAAAGCTGAGAAATTGACAGTTTTTTACCGCGTAACAAAATTTTGGACAACATGTAGCAGTGTCTATTTCTAAAACCGCCGAGGTAGTCGCACTTATATTTATACCAACGAATAGGAAATTAAATATTCTACATTTCTGTGTACTTGTATAGCCGTACGCAGATCCAGGACCACAAGAGCGCAGTTCTCGCACTACGCTCACTTTTCAAACCTTTTAAAAAATGTGCGGCTGAAAAAACCCCACGGCATACAGTGCCTCCAATACAGGGCTACGCCTGGCTTACGCCTGCTGGGTAGGTGGCGTAAATATAGAGCGCTAGGACTGGACTTACCGAAACAAATCGTCAAAAATGCAAATTCAACTTATAAAGTTGAAAAATAACGCGATGAAAAAAAACGCGCGAAATCGGAGTTCAAACGTTTCACTAATTTTCCCCAGACTTTTCTGGGGAAAACGGGTTTCAACAGCTGGGCTGCGCTCATAGCACGTGCGCAGTGAAATAGGTTCGCGCAACTTGGAAGCGGGCTGTCCGGTGAATACTCGGTTAAGTCTTTGGTGTGAGCTACTTTTCTAATGTTTTGTTGATATCTCACAGGCGCGAGCTTTTTATATGTTATGACAGTAAATTAACTGTTTATATAATTTCACCACACGTTCTTCTTACCGAGTCACTTTCTCAGTTCGATACTTAAAAGCAACGTCATTATTTAGCGTTGACAGAATTTCTAACTGTGATATAGATATGTTGTTGTCACAGACAATACTCAATGTCTTGTTTTATTGACATCTGTGTGTCTGCCTGCCTGTCTGCTAATGACAATATTCAATACACAGCTGCTGTCACTGACCACATGCAATTTGAACTTAACACCAATCAGGCTATACACCATAAACAAAATGCATTGATTTATGGCCCGAGTTCGGTCTCTGTCACATTATGTAATTACACAGACAGGCAGGTGTGATAGTTGAACACATGACATGTTATGATGTCTGTTGGTTGCAAAATGTTATACACAAAAAATGAGCATGTATTTACAAAACCCAACATCTCTACATATACACACAAAATAAGCCGTGAGGGCATATGCAAATGAACCAGCGGTTACACTTGAGTGCACACCCACCCGCTCTGACTGGGTTCGGTATCCCGGCTGCTTCGTTTCTTGGGAAGTAAACCGAAGTACAAAATATTGCACTTTTGATTTGCGATTGTACGCTTATAATTTTGTTTATATGTTTTTTCATAACCAGCAATGTATATTATATGTCACGAATAAGTGATAATTGTGTTTTAATTATGTTTGATTTTTTGGTTGCATGTGACCTTTAACTACGTCTAATATGTGCATACCGGTTTACGTTACGTCCGGGCACACATTTTACTTACGCCCGGACTAGATTTTACGCCCGACATATGCATACGGCCACTGGTGTTTCCCATAATGGTATTGCTGTAAAGTTACTAAAAGCAGCGTAAACCCATACTCACTCGTTCACTCCCCAGATAGATCCTTATATGTCATGGGAATAGTTTCCGGGAAATGACGCATGTTATGCACAGATCGTCTTTAAAGTCAAGTACATATTAAAACCGCACTCTCTCCATCTCTCCTAGCTCCTCTCCGTGGTGTAGTGGTTAGAGCGTCCGCCCGGAGAGCGGAAGGTCGCGGGTTCGATCCCCGACCGCGTCATACCAAAAGACGATAAAATATGGTACGTGTTGGTCCCTGCCTTGCGCTCGGCATTAATGGGTACAACAAGGACTGGTCGGCTCGGAGTCAATATAATGTGTCTGAGTGGGGTATTCATGCTTCACTGCGGCATGATATCTCAGTGGGCTAGCACTATAAAACCAGCTTCAGTCTGGGCTAGTACAAGCAACCTTACATACACATACACACACACGCATGCACGTCGTCATATGAGCGAAATATTCTCAAGCACGACGTTAAACCCAATTCCACCACCACTACAGACATTGTCAGTCATTCACACAATCTTGTTTAGATTACTGACTAGTGTAATTGTCACCAGTGACTCTGTTAAAACCTCATGTAATCATTAAATAACAGTTGTATGGTTAACTATACTCATAAAATACACACTTAACCACTCTGAGAAGGTTTAAATAAACAACACTGAGACACTCTGAGATGTTTAGGATTGTAACTACTGCAACAAAATGTAATGAATTTCTTCTAATCTTACTATTTTCTAAAACTTAGGCCCTTTTGACTTCAATCTATGGCCCTTTTTGACTTTTCCTTGGCCCTTTTGACTTTTCTGTGGCCCTTTTGACCTTTCCCGTTTTGGCCCTTTTGGCCTTTGGCCCTGTTTTGGAAAAAACAACTAAAAGGCTCTCAGCGGACAATGACCCAGTGACACATCATCCAATCGAAATCGCCAAGCGCTAATTAACCAATCAAAAAAGTGCGATCTGTTGTTCTTCGGCGCTGGCTTGCAGGAAGCACGAGTTCATGTGTCATCTGTGTCTTATATTAAGGTATGTAAACGGTGCCATTAATACGTGTGTATTGGTCATGGGTTCTATCTAAGTTTGTTTTTGAAAGTGCATTGAATGGGATGTGTAGTTTAAGATTAATGTCAGGCACGGACCAGTCAACAAGGACAGGTTTTATTCTTATTGATCAGGCGTTCTCAGCTGGTTGTTGGAAGAGCCAACCCACCATTCATTCAATGATCCATTTCAAAAAGCCCACTGTAACAACGGTCTGTGAAAGTGACACGTGTGTGAAGGTAGCAGAGATGCTTTTTACTCAGCCACTGGTCGTTTTTGTCAAGTTTTGTAATTCCCCTGAACTGAAGTTACATACAGGCGACTCCTTTAGGAAATAGAGTTGCATAGCTATTCTAAAACTGACCCGTTCCAGTTATATTGCGCCACTGGACGTAATTTCTATATACTTACATGTTTATTTTGTGTAGCATAAATAATTGTTATGAATTTAATTTTCGTAAGATCCAAGTCGAATTTTGCACATTTGTGAGGAATCATCTTACCTACAATCACATAATTTCTGTTTCATTTTCCGTTGCATATTTATCGAATGGCAACAATTTAATCAACATGTACAATGCTGTGAACTCCATTAACATGGCGGCCAATGGCATTGTGGAACCATACGTAAGTTGATAGATGTCGTTAGTTAAATGGTTGGAAAATTGAACAGAAATTATGTGCGTAGAGCCGAAATGATTTCACATTTGACTGTCAAATTTTACAAAGATCCATCCTAAACTCACTTCATGAAAATTATTTATGCTTCACTGAAATAACATGTAAGTCTACAGAAATTACGTCAAGTGTCCGAATATAACTGGCATGAGTCTGTAGGTTTATGAATCCGTCAACTCCCCCAAACAAACCAAAAAAACAAACAAACCCCTATTGAATATAAAACCTTTTCCTAACCATAGGGGCGAACAGATTCTATAGTTACACCCTAACCCTGGGCTGAACAGAGGATTAGTACATTTTACCAAGCACACTTTTCACATTCCTCCTGGGGACCATTACAGTTGATGAGCGCGTGCTATTAGCAGTGAATAGCACCTCTTTGACATGTATAAATATTGAAAAATGAAAGCAAACCATTGCGCATACAGGTATGTGATGGAGGTCATGCCCTCCCAGTCATCTTTGTCTTAGGCCACGCCCGCTATTGTTTATCAACCATTAGCAACCAGTCAAGTGGTCAAGTGATGCTATGGGGTACATTAATGTTGATTTCCTCACGTTCTAGGTGATGACTCTTGTCGACCGTACGTCTGACCGCCCATCCTGATGGGACGTTGGTTGACACATGTCATCGGTTCCCAGTTGCACAGATCGATGTCCATGATGTTGATCACTGGATTGTCTGGTCCAGACTCAATTATTTACTGACCGCTGCCATATAGATCTAGCTGGAATATTGCTGAGTGTGGCGTAAAACTAAACTCGCTAGCTCACTCACTCACTCCTGATGGGATGAAATGTGTTTCAAATTTATTCAGATTATTACACCAAACTAAAGTAAGCTCTGTGCCAAGCCCTAAACCTTAACACTAATGGCTAGCAAACAGTTAGGCCAAATAAAAATAATGTTGTGGTTCTGATTACAGCTCTTTTAAATTTAGGGTAGGTAGGTAGGACTATTTTTGCTTTGTACATTTTTTTTAGAAGTAAAGTACAAACTAATAACACATTTATCAATGTGTAATTGTTTATTTAATCAAACTTGTCGCCATCATGTCGACTTTCTCTATCAGAATGACTGATGTCCGTCGGTGCCAGGAGAAAACAGTGGTATCTCAACGCTGAATTTTGTTAATACCGCTTAAAAGAAATAGGGTCGGCACCAGAATTCCAGGCTCGGTTTGGTAATCAGAACCACAATATTTTTTTTTATGCCTTTTCTCCGTGTAACAGTTATCGTCAGTACATCAGTATCACACGTGCGTGGTGCCGGTCAATTACAAATTCAGTATTTTTTGCCCACGGTATTTGACAACAAAGGACAGCAAAAGAAAAAGAAAATTCTCTTTATCTTACCTTGTATAAAAACCGGTGTACCGCTTCATTCCCCCATATGCTTGAAAACGGTATAAGAATCTATGCCGAAACGTCGCCATTGTCAAAATAAAGAAGTTGATCATCCATAAAGTCTTGTCATCCCTAAGAGTCTTGTACTGACTGACTGACTGAGTTTAGTATTACGCCGCTTTTAGCAATATTCCAGCAATATCACGGCGGGGGACACCAAAATGGGCTTAACACATAGTGCCCATGTGGGGAATCGAACCGGGGTCTTCAGCGTCACGAGCTTACACTTTAACCACTAGGCTACCCCACCGCCCCAAGAGTCTTGTACCCTGCAAACACTGGAATTCAGAGTTGTCCAGCTAAAAATTATCATTGCTTGTGTTAGTATATTTAGTTGTCTCCATATTCACATGCTTATTTGATCTTAATAAGCAAAGTTTTAAGAAAATAAAAAATTAATGCAAGTCCTAGAGCACAATGTATTGACACTGCTTTGAAAAGTGGTTTTCACCATGCATGGCTGATAGTTGCGATGAGGTGTGACAAATTTCGTATAGTCATGATGGTCATATCTTGATTGTTTGACCCCATTGCCGCTCTAAGTTACAGACCGCCTCCGTGGTGTAGTGGTTAGAGCGTCCGTCCGAAGAGTGGAAGGTCGCGGGTTCGATCCCCAACCGCGTCATACCAAAAGACGTTAAAATATGGTACTTGTTGGTCCCTGCCTGGCGCTCGGCATTTACTACAACAAGGACTGGTCGGCTCGGAGTCAGTATAATGTTTCTGAGTGGGGCATTCATGCTCCACTGCGGCATGGTATCTCAGTAGGCTAGCACTATAAAACCAGCTTAAGTCTGGACTAGTACAAGCAGCCACACATACACATAAACATGCATGCGCGTCGTCATATGAGCGAAATATTCTTAAGCACGACGTTAATCCCAATGTCACCTCACCTCACCTCTAAGTTACACTGAGGTTCAGAGAGGCCCAAGGCTTTGCAATTTGATCTCCATTCACATTCTTCTATCCTGTCGACCCGTGACGATCCGGGTTAGATTTGGTCTCCAGTAACCCATGCTACTGGTGTTCCAATAAATTGAAATAATCGAAGATTGGTCGCAGTGACCAAATGACCAAGCAATAGATCACATTTTCTCATAGTCAAACAAAAATGATTTTGGAACTACTGGTTTATTCTTTGAAACACTTGACAAGGGAACATATCTTCGAAGTTGTCAGGGCCTGAAAATGTGTTTATTGTTATAATACTCACTTCATTAAGTAAAAAGTCATGACACGATATTTCTTGAAGACTCTAGGAAGTTTATGTTCATGATAACATATTAGTCATCACTTTAAAGTAGCAAGTTGCATCATGTTATACTTATTTGCAATTACAACCTGAATAGTAAAATTTGAAAAATGACACTAACCAATTATTTCCGATGATTGATCGGTTGTAATGAACCAATCATGAATTATGAGTTCTTTTTCAGAAGAAGTCCTCCTTGGGGTACATATAAGCATTAAAATGTCCATTTTAAAAGCCTACGACAGTTGTAACAATATTTCAATAAAATATTTTACCAAACAAAAAACTCGTTATGTGTGGTGAGACCACCCCTACAGGGCCCCGTAGAGGGCCCCCTACAGCCAAGAGCAGGTAACTCTGGCTGTGTACCTCGTACCTCACTTTTCATGCTGTCGTCGGCCGTGTAGGTCGATTGCATGGTCCAAGAAGCTACGAATAAGAGAGCGATGAGTGAGATAGAGTCAAATCCTGTATGTATGGTTCCTTTTTTTCGCTCGGCTAGCTGGAATCTTTGTATGACTTTTCATTCATGATTTGTTGTAACTTTACCGGCGTGTTAAGCTGTCTCCAGCCACGTGGCAGGCAAGATGGCGGACCGCGGGGTCCGTTGCTTTCCTTCTCCTGGCTTTAGAAAAGCCTTGTAGTCGGGTTGTGAAAGGGCTGATATTTCATTTTGTAGATTATACTTGCCTAAATTCCTCTTTTCCAGGCTTTAGGTAAGTTTTGCTTGAGAATGTTTTCGTGACGCCAGCGTTACGTGTATGCGGCTCACACATGTTGCTCTTTGTCACCTATATGTGCGCAATGCGGCAGCTATTATGGCTTTACGCTAGTAATTAATAGCTTTGCTGTAGCAGTTAAAATATCGCCCGGCGTTGTATTTTGTTCTGTTTTGTTGTGTGCATATTATATTATGTATATCATTACAGTCCTTGCTATTATCATAGCGTGGTTCTGTTTTTGCAGCCCAAAGGGGTGTGTCACCTGTAGCGGCAGTTTATTAGCCTCAGGATCGCCACCTGGTTTGCTTACGTTGTTTAGCGGAGGAAGCCCATGACGAACAAGGTTGTTCTATGTGTCAGGCTTTCTCCCCGCACCATCAAGTCCAGGCGTGCTGATTACATGTTCTACACGTCCTTACTTCAGGCGAGGGGGACATTTGGGGTCAGGAGCAGCCTAAAGACAAAGATAAAAACAAAGAAAAAAGGCGGCTTCTCTCTTTGGGGATGCTCCTAAGCGAGGCGAAGGTGCGGGGCCTCCGGCTCTTTCACCTGCCATCCCTCAACATCACAGGCACCTTCCCCCTCCTGTCCCTGTTTCTAACCAGCTAACAATTGATTTACTTTCTGATATATTGCAGAAGCAGATGGATTCGGTCCACACTCGTGGCTGGCGATGATGGCTGGCCTCCGACAGGAGATTGGTGTCCGACCAGATACGGGTGTGTGTCGGGTCTATGGCGGGCAGTGCTCCCAACCTCAGCTTAGGCTCTGGTGTGGGGGGGTTTCGAGCCGAGTGCGTCGGCTCGAGTTTCGTCTCGGTTGCTGGCCACCCTCCGCTGTAATAGTAACTACTACCGGCCCGAGCCTTGGCTCGGGGTCTGGTCAATAGTTAGTAGTTTGGCAGTCCCTGTAGTTGCGCT